GGTTCCATATGGTAAATGGAAGTAGCAAGTTGAAAAATGCGTTGCGAAGAAACAAGGTAGCATGATTTTTTCTGTGACTCTGATGTTTAGTCACACCATAAAGTAAAGCCAATTATGAGCATCATTTGAATGTCACACAAACCAAGAATCAGATTGTGGTTACTGTTTTTGTAAGTATTCATTTCCACTTGATTCCTGGTGAAGTGAAATTTAGGTTTGTTTTCATATATGATCATGATCAGTTATTTTGTTTCTTTTCTTTTGGCTAGATTATAATCCATATGTTAAAAGTAATTTATCTTTCACACAGAGCACAAGGTTTCCATTACTGGTTTATGGTCAAATAATTTGTTTCAACAAACGAAGCTCCTTTTTGGATGAATTCTTAGTAAGTATTAATGAAATAAATAAAAAATTGAAACAAAATGAATTAGACTTTCTGCACGTAAAATGAAGAAGTAAATAAAGTTTCTGAACATTCAAAATGTTGCCCTGTAATAATTCTCCTTCACCAAAAGCTTGAAACTGCGGCTGAAGCTTCTGTTTCAGCATGTGAATCGGCGTACCTGCATTGGTCAATGTTTCAATTTTCATGTAACTGCATTAGTACACAAAGTTATGACCGTAAAACCAACTTTGCGTGCATTCAAACTGCAACCTATGAGGACAAGGTCTTATCAAAACGATAAATTATTGCTGGAGTTGTTTAAGAATTCACGGCTGAAAGGAAAGCCGTACGAGGCCTTATATGAAGAAAAGGTATGCATATATGAAGAAGGAAGGCCTGTAAGGAAAGGCAAATGACCGTGCAGAAACATTTTTGCTGAAATGGGGTTTTGGCAATACTGCAATGCACAAAAGTCCAATATTAGAGTCATTCTGGTTTTGTTTGTTTGTCCACCACGTCAGCTTTCACGTGACTTGTTTTCACTTTTGGTGTAGTTGTTTTCAGCCAGCCAAGTTATTCTTAAAAAACTATTAAATCAGACACCGTGCATGAGACTTATATGCTATTATAACAAGGGAAACTCTCTTGAGAAATTTATGAATTGGAAGATAAACTTAAATGTAATAAATTAAGTTGGATGTTTATTTGTTTAGATGTTTAGATTATTTTAGAGTGTAAGGGTCACTAGTTTAATGTAATGGTTATTAGACAATAATAAGTAATAATGGTGTCTTAATGGTAGATTTTATGACTTTGTAAGAGCCTAGTTGACACATAACGTAGAGCACACTAGATTCACATAATAGTAATGAGTGTCATTTTTCTAATAATTTGGTATCAAAGCTTCACAGTCTAAGTGTGAGCTAGAGCAAGCTTGAGTGTTTGAGTTTTTTTTAGAAAGAATGAACGAGAGATGACCAACCTTTCAAAGAGTGTGTCTCTGTCTTAGTAGGCAAAGAAAGTCAACTATTATAATTGGAATGTGCATATGAAAGCTCTTCTTAGATCCCTAAATCGTTTTGGATGTAGTTGAGAATTGATACGAAGAGCCAACAGAAAATGAAGAACATACGGTTGCTCAAGTTTGTTGCATTGAGAAAAATGCAAGCGAAGGATAAATCGGCTTTGTACGTATTGTATCGAGTTGTGGCTGAATTTGACTTTGAGAAGATAATAAATGCAAAATCTTCAAGAGAAGCATCATGAAAAAAGGTATACAAAGGAGATAACCGTGTTAGGAAAGTTTGACTTCAAACTCTCAAAGACGAGTTTGAAAGCTTGAGAATGGAGGAGAGAGAATGAGTAGCCATGACAAACCAACTCGGTAGAAATGGAGAGGATTTGTATGCCAACTAACATATGGAGAAGATCCTAAGGTTGTCTATTAAGGATTTTGAGAATATAGTTTATCCTATCAAGGAATCCAAAGACTTGTCCATGCTCTTGATTGAAGAACTTGTCGGGTCCTTGGAGGTACATGAGCAATGGAGAAGGACGACCTATAGGCAACTTGATTAAGCACTTTAGGCAAAGCTTGACCTGAAGAGAAGAACTTGGATCATTAAAGGATGAGGTTCTATTGAAAGAGGCTGAGAAGAGATTGGACGTGTGACCACACATGATGAACTTGAAAGAGGAAAAAGAACAATCTCGATGCTCTAAATCGCTGCCTGAAAATAGACGAGACGTGCCACCACACATGACGAAAAAAGGAGCATATCCACAACTTCAAAATGCATTGAGAGCGTGTAAGAGCTGTAATGTAGGTGTTGGAATTGTGGTCGCCTAGCCAAGACGATCAAAATCGTCTGATTGTTGGTCGAAACTGAAACTCTGAAAGTGGTAGCCATAGACGATGGCGCCACTAGTAATGGTATATGGCGTTGTCGTCAATAGTAGGTGTAGTGGTAGAAGTAACAAAAAAAAAATCTCAAAAGAACCTAACTCTAGATATCATGTTGAATATAGTGAAAACTATGTATAAAATTAATCTCCCTTATGTTGAATATACACATAGGTTACTTAATTTATAATAGTAAAAATATGAGCTAAGCACAAATATAAGTAAGAAATAATAATAAACTAATTAAAAATAAAATATAAAGAAAAGATAAAAATAATATATCTAACACATACATTTGATTATTTTTACATTTTTTAATATTTTTTTATCATGTAAAATACTAATACTTTATATAATTATTTTTGTTTTCTTGTTTTCATAAGTTACTTAAGTTAATTTGTAGAGAAAATGAACACTAAATATTTTATTTTTACTAATATTTAATATATTTTATTTATTACTTATTTTTGTTATGTAAAATATTAATATCTTATATAATTATTTTTGTTTTCTAATTTATTTTCATAGGTTATTTAAAGTTAATTTGTAAAGAAAATGAACACTAGAGATCTAGTTTTACAAGTTTAAGATGGGTTGAGAGAAAAAAATTATACATTAAATATAAAAAATGGATGATGATGAATTTTTCCTTTTAAAATAACGATTAATTAATGAAAACCACAATCCCATTGTGATCGTTAATTATGGAACAAATGACCATGTTGTAAGCCCAAAATGTGTCTAACTAGTTATTCTTCAACTTGAATGAGAAAGAATACACCTTTATTTTTACTATTACCTTTTGTAATCAGTAATATGTGGCCTTTTGAACTCCTCGGCGTGCTTTATGTCATTAGCAGAGGTAATAATTCACACGTGACAATGTATAAATTCACTCCAAACTTTTATTTCCTTCCAAATAATTGAAGATTTATTATTAATTTTTTTTTTCTTTTAAGTCTGTGATTTAGATAAAAGATGTTGGTAGAATCTATATATTAATAATTTCTATTTTTATAAAAATATAATATTAACATTTGTGTGATTTTTATTTATCAATAATAAAAAAAACTTATATTATGATAATAAATAATAAATTAGTGGCAAGTTTAAAATAAAATAAGTTATTCAAGTTTAATGGATTGTCATATACACTTTATAATCTTCATGTTGTTAAACATTTACATTCCTTTGAAGGGAGACAAAAAAATCCCTTGCCTTACTCAAATTTTCGTTTCTGGCATAGAGATCAATAGACAACCCATATTCACCTGACAATCATACATCTTAAAAATATAATTTAAGCCAATAACATACCAATATTTTAAGAAGCCTTTCAAAGCCGTACTCCAAATTGCTGTCGTTATATATTATCTACCAACCATTCATTCTTGTTCTTGTGATCTATTTTCATACAATAATGTATATAATGTTATTTTTATACTTAACTTTTTAGTTTTATTAATAAAGCTAAACATTTATAAAATTAATTATTATTATTTGTCATAAAATTATTTTATTTTTTGAAAATAAAAATATACAAAAACATACTTTTCTAAAAATTTAGGAAAAAAGTATTGTATATATAAAATATAGACTGTCTTTATCCTCTTTATTTTAATTTATCTTTAACCCTGTATTTATTTTCTAAAAGATTCAACTTGTAATAGTCATTACTTGATTTTTAATTACATTATAAATTTATATACTTTAATTGAGTTTCTTTTTAATTTATTATATTGAGTATTTAATATAGTGTTGTTTTATTTAAATATTCGTATTTTTAGTTTGTCATCAATCGATTGAATTTTTATCTTAATACATGTCTTTTTCTTTCTTAATTTCTTGAAACTCGTTAACGAAAGCGCTTTTAAGGATAAGTGAACCACTTAGAGTAAAAGGAGATTGATAAAAATAATAAACAAGTTGATAAAAAATAAAAAAAAAAATGAAAATATATTGTCTTGTTTAAAGATGACAAATAATGTATGTCTATTGTATAATTCGTAATAAAAAAAATCATTTGTTACATGTTGTATATTTATTTAAAAAATATTTATAAATATTTTAAAATCTGTTTATATTTGTAGATGTCCACATATATTTTAGAAAAAAAAAATATTTTATAAATTTTTAAAATAAAATAAAAATAAAAATATAGGAAAAAATATAAAATATAATATTAATTAAATTAAATTAAATATATTTTTAATTAAATTTAACGTAATAAAAGATAAATTAATTTTAATTAAATTAAATTTAATAAAATATAATTTTAATTTTAATTTTTTATGAGTAATAAATATTCATAATATATTATAGCATCTAATAAGTTTATAAACGAAAATTAAAATATTCATTACGTTATAAATAGTAACCGTTCTTAAGAAATACATGCCAAGTATTTTTACCATTCCTATTCTTACTAGACCAATTGATGTATCCTAATAAACTTAAAGCAAAACATCATTAACAGTATAAAACGCCAATTAGGCGCTAAACGAAGGTTAAGCTGAGACTGAGACGTGATTAGATAAATGGAAAAAGTAAAAATCCAACACAGAAGGAGAAATATATAGTTGAGGTAATAAATGAGGATAGTTATTCTTGCATTTATTATCACCGAACTAGAATTTAATCTTATTAAGAAGGTTTGTTGATATTCGAGAATTGTTAATTAGATTATTGAAAAAAATGGGAGTTAGGCTGTGACTTCCCCCACCCACTCCATGCTAAAAAAAGCATGTAAAAACAAGATACACAGGCATGGCATCTTTTCTTTTGTTTATGTGAAGTTCTCTTGGTTGACCGCAGAGACCGAAAGAAATGGAGAATGGAAGTGAGAAGAAATGGAATTTTGATGGGAACCAAAAGCTGAAGGCTTCATCCATGTCTGTGAGAGGAGCCTATAACATGTTGATGGAAAAAGTTAACAACAGTGGAGACAACAAACCTCTAATTCGTCTCTGTCGTGTAGATCCTACGGATAACCCACTCTATCGGACTACCCCCGATGCTGCTCATGCTGTTGCAGCTTCTGTTCACTCTTATAACTACAACTCTTACTCTCCCACCGTTGGCTTACCCGAGGCTAAGAGGTTTCTTCCCTCTCATCTCTTATCTACTAAATCAAACTACTCTGTCAATTTATGATTTATAAGTTGCTAATAATGAACTGCAATTACCAAACAGGGCAATTGCAAATTATCTCTCTGCTGATCTTCCATACCAGTTATCACCTGAGAATGTTTTTATCACCGTTGGTGGAACACAAGCTGTAGATATAATCTTGCCAGTTCTTGCACGTCCTGGTGTCAACATTCTCCTTCCAAGACCAGGGTACCCGCAATATGATTCTCGTGCTTCTTGCTGTGCCCTTGAAGTTCGGCACTATGATCTTTTGCCTGAGAGAGGTTGGGAGGTCGACCTCGATTCCCTCGAAGCTCTAACAGATGACAAAACAGTGGCTATGGTCCTCATCAATCCGAGCAATCCTTGTGGAAATGTGTTCACATACCAACATTTAAAAAGGGTACACATATATACTCTTTCATGCATCTTTATTTGAGTGTTGGAAATGAAATGTGATGATTTTTCAGTGCTCTTGCAGGTTGCTGAGGTTGCTAGGAAACTCGGAATCTTTGTTGTTTCTGATGAAGTTTATGCTCATATAACTTACGGAAGCAACCCATTTGTCCCCATGGGAGTGTTTTCATCAATAGTGCCTGTCATTACAATTGGATCTTTGTCAAAAAGATGGTTGGTTCCCGGTTGGAGAACTGGTTGGATAGCCACATGTGACCCTCATGGAATTTTTCACAAAACTGGGGTTAGATTTCTCCTTTATCATTTTCAACATCAAAAGAAATAAATCTTTCTCCTTATCATCTTGATGTTTGACTGATTGTGTTGTATGAATTATGCAATTGTTTTCTTTTATCAGCTGGTGAAAAATATCATCGACTATTTGGAAATCTCAACTGACCTTCCAACCATCTTGCAGGTAACCAATGAAAACTACCATAAGCAAAATACAAGACCAACATAAAATCAATCATACAAAATATCAGTTTCGTTTTCTTCTGAGCATAGATTAAATTCAAAATTTCATACATGCCCATTTCCTTTTTGTTTCATTTTCTATCCCCTCGAAAGAAAAATTACAGCTAGTAAGTTTTACAGGCAGCAATACCTGACATCATTGGCAAAACCAAAGATGATTTCTTCGTAAAAAATCTTAATATATTGAGGGAGACAGCAAATAAGTTCTATGATTTATGCAAGGAGATTCCTTGCTTAACATGCCCAAACAAACCAGAAGGAGCAATGTGTGTGTTGGTAAGTGGCAAAGAGCTTTAAGGTTGTCATCATGTTATTATGGCATTAACATTGGATCACATATGATCAATTAATAGTAAATTAAACGGAGCAGGTGAAAATTAACTTTTCGCAAATTAAGGGCATTGTTGATGACATGGATTTCTGTGCCAAGCTAGCCGAAGAGGAATCTGTCATTCTTCTTCCTGGTAATATATGTTTTTCTTCTTCTGCAATCTTAGTTTCCTTAGTTTCATAGTAAATTTGTCTTTATTGATGATGAGCATTGATACTATAGGGGTTATGGTTGGACTGAAGAATTGGATTCGAATTAGTTTTGCTGTGGATCCTTCCAGTATTGTAGATGGCTTCAGCAGGATTAAAGCATTTTGCCTTCGATATGCCAAGATGGCATGAAGTCATGTCACACTGTAAAGGGTGGGAAGTGTTAGTTTCTTATCCATGTTATATTTATGAACACCATTTCTTTCGCAAACTATATGTATGAAGATACTCACCTCCTCTTTTTATATTATCAATCTTTAATCCATCTCCTGATATATTTAAAGGTAAAATGTTATTATAAGATCATTTGTAAAACCAATTCTTATTAACTTTTATTAAAAAGAGCATTTTTAACCCTAAACTCATTTTTAATTTAACAAATAAACTCTTAAATTATATAAGAGAGACTTATTTAATAAGACTTGTGATGTGTGGTAAGATTATCTAAATCAAAGATAATTTTACATTTTTATAGTATTCACTATGAGACTTTATTATTAATTAAGTTTCTAAGTACATATTTTTTTTCTAATTTTTAATTTTTATGTTTTTCTTTCTAATATGACGACTTAAAATATTATATTTTTATACATTATATATTGCTCTAATAATAATAACTTTGATTATATTCATAAACACGCAAAACATATTATAAATGTTATAATTATTGAAGTAAGTATTTCTTTAAGTTTCTTAAAAATATAAGAAAAATTATGATTGAATAAATAATTACCCTCCTACAAATTATTTGTACAAATAATTAGTACATATGAAATTTTGGCGTGAGTTGCCCACATATTTAACAAATTATATTTAACAAATTGATCATTAAAATTTAAAATTTACAAATGTTTTTGTGATTGCATTTTGATGTCCAACAATGTCATCTTTCCTTTCAAGTTGTGTGCCCCGATTTGTTTCCTACTCTCTAATCTCACATGCCCTAATTAGTGTCATCTAACCATTGTCGCTCTGCTCTCAAAATCTTATCATGTACCCTAATCATTGTCATACTAGAGCTTTGAATCCTCATAAACGAACACGGTGTATTTCTCTTTTTCTTTCCTTCACATTCATTCTTTTTCGTGCCCTAGCTTCAGTCTATTGTCACTTTCATTCCTTTCCATGTCCTAGCTTCAATATACCTTTAATTTGGCTTGACTTTTATTCCCTAATCTTTCCTTCACAGTTGTTCCCTTTTGAGCTCAGCTCCAGTCTAACTTCAATCGAGTCAAGGAGCTCCATATTCCCAAACTTAACAACAAAATCATTTCACCAAGAAGAAAGCAAAGTTAAAAGAGTAAGTCAGTGCACATTTGCGTAAGGATAGACTCATACGTAATTACCTACATGTATGAAAGAGTTCATAGAAGTTTTGATTCTTAGGATCTAGTAGTTATATTTCAAAACAGATGGACGATTATGATGAAGTAATATCCAAAAGGATTAATGTTTCGGTAGGTTCCTATTTTTGTTTAGAATCTTAAATAGGTTCTTTTTTTTTCGGCATCTCAATTGGATCCTTATTTTTTGTAAAATTGAATCAAATAGAGATTTGCCGTCAAATTAAAAAGATGTCGTTAAGGAGGGTGTTACGTAGCATGCTGGTAGTACGTATACATGTGTAAGGGAAGTTGGCATGCTGACACTCTGGTGGTCGCCCTGATGGTTGGTCACTCGGTCTAGTGGTCGGCCACTTGGCCTTGTGGTCGACCACCCACCAGGCCGACCGACAACCAAACCGAGTGACCGACCACCAAACCGAGTGGCGAATCACCAGGCCGACTAGCACCACCAGGCCGACCACCCACCAGGCCGACCACCCACCAGGCCGACCACCCACCAGGGTGTTAGCATGCCACGTTAGAATGTCAACTTCCCTTACATATGTATATTGTCAGCATGTCACGTAACACCCTCCTTAACAGCGTTTTTTCAATTTGATGGCAAACCTCTATTTGATTTAATTTTACAAAAATAAGGACCTAATTGAGCCGTCGAAAAAAAAGGAGACCTATTTGAGATTCTAGACGAAAATAGGGACCTATCGAAATATTAAATCTATCCAAAAAGAATATCTTAATTAATATATCATGTATTAGTGTAAATCCTTGTTGGTAAAAAGAAAATCTTTGAAAGAAAAGTATATAAAAGGTTGATGTTTTAAAGAACTAGAAAAACAAAAGAAAGTATAGGATGAATGATTTTCCATTATTTTTGTTTTTTTCTTTTTGTTTTATTTAATGACCTAAATAAAAGACAAATTTATTCATAATTAAAATCGATTTATAATTATCAAAATTTGTCGATAAATCAAAATTATCAACAATTTACCAACTATTAATCAAAATTGTCAATAATTTATCAACTATAAATCTATTCAAAATTTGATCTTTCTTTTCTCCCTTTTCTCCTCTTCTTTTTTTTTTTCTTCTTTCTTCTTTTCCTCCTCCTCATCATCTCCTCTTCCTTCTCTACATCATTTTGTTCTCCTCCTCCTCATCATCTTCATTCTCCACCTCCTCCTTCTTATTCTTTTCCCTTTTTCTCTTCCTCTTCTTTGTTTTTCTTCTTCTTTTCACTCATATAACATATGTTTTATTAGATTTAGTGATAAAATTGGTTTCTATTTTAATTATGAATTTTAAAAAAAGTCAGTTAATGGATTTTTAAAAAAATAAATTATTGAATTCTTTTTAAATCCATTATTGATAGACTTACTCATGAATTCTTTAAAAAATTACTAATAGATTTTATTTTTAAAGGAAAAAATTTTGATACCCATTTTACTAACAAAAATTACGTATTTTTGAATAATAAACATTATAAATTATTAACGAATTTTATAAAAAAAATATTTTTATAAAAAATAAAAATTTTAATTTATTAACATATATTACTGATAGATTTTATTGAGTTCTATCATAACTAAAATTCTAAAATTTGATAAATTTTGTATGTAAATTTTGTTTTACTCATTAAATTTCATGTAAGGATATGGACAATATGCACATATTATTTTTTGCAATACCCGAATTCGGAATCTACTACGTATAAACCTTGTGATCTTATATTTTAAACTGAATATGATGCGTTTGAGGATATATTAGATTATTAAAAATATTCGTGATTTGTTAGTATATGCTTGAACGTTTTTTAATATATTATGATTCTTAATATTTTAATCAGTTGGTAAACTTTTGTTTATATTATCAAAGAAATGCATTTGGTTTAGGCACATAATTTTGACTGATAATAGAAGTCGCATCGGCATAAATTGAGGAATATATTCCGGTTATTCAGAAGACTTAAAAGGCATATGCTGAAATTCTGAAATACTGCTATTATAGTTTTGGCTTCTTCTTTTTGGTTCATTTTATTAAAGAAAATTTTTACTATTACAAACTTTTTAATCTTAAATTGAGATTAATTTCTTAAACGTCACTGTCACTGTCACTGTTATAAAAAAATCAATGACATTTCAGTGTTGTGAATGACTTCTTTCATATAAATAATTAAAGATGACAGAATTTTGAATAAACTATACTGTTTTTTTAAACGTTGTTTGATATTTATTTTTTTTCATTTTAAAAGCTTGTATAAAACTTTTTGATTGCTTTAATGCTATTAAATCGGTACTCGACAATATGTTATGTACGTTGGTTTTCCTAATTGTTATAAAAATACATTTATATAAATGAGAGAAAGTTTGATAAAAGCCTTATGTTTCCTCTTTGGACGAGTGGGTTAATTATATATATATATATATATATTATTTGAATTTTCAGTGTGGACTTGTGGATGGATAGTTGAGATTTTAACAGTTGTTTCTTTTGTTTGGAAAGAGTTTTTTTATTGTTAAGAGATAAAAATATTTACCTAAAACACTCTTTGAGTCTCAAAGTCAGCTAGTGAAAATATCGCTTTTTATGATAGGTAAAAATGACCTTAGATAACCAGATATCATAGTTCTAGACATCATAATAGGTGTGCGCATTTTAGGGTGTTGCTCCCTCCACCACCTCTGCACCTCCCCACTATTTTCTTTTATTCCAAAAATACTCTACATATCCCAACTATTTTTTTTATTCCAAAAATACTCTACACCTCCCCACTATCCTCAAGAATCTTTCTCTTTCTTTCTCTGCACTAATAGAGCATTCATATGGCTTAGATTTAAACTTGTGATATATTGCAAAATATAAAATTCAGAAGAAACTTCAATATTAGTGCTTCTACCACTTCCATTTTATAAACTTAAAAGTTAGATGCAAATACAAAATAATAAACATAATAATATTAATAGTAAATAATATATTATTATTATTATATACTAACTTTATAATGACGAAAGAACTAAATAAATTTCAAATCTTTAACAAATAACTTTTCTTTTATATTCTAAGTATTTAATAATATTTTTATATTATTTATCTAATAAATTAAATACTTTATTCAAGTTATTTGAGTCAAACATGTTGGTAAGTTAAAACATAATATAATGTTAAAAATTATAGATATTAAATGTAAAAAAAACACACACATATATATAAACATTTTTCTAGAAATTTAGAACAAAATTTTACCATTTACTAAGTAATTTGAAGAAAAAAAATATTGAACAGTGAAAATAAGATTAAATCATACTTATTTAAGGGAAAGTGTAAATAAAATTTTGCAATATATCACAAGTTTAAATCTGAGCCATGTGAATACTCCATTGATGTAGAGAGAGAAAGAGAAAGATGGTTGAATATAGTGGGAAGGTGTAAGGTATTTTTGGAATAAAAGAAAATAGTGGGGAGATGTAAAATATTTTTGGAATAAAAGAAAATAGTGGGAAGGTGCAGGAGCACTTAGGGTGGTGGAGGGAGCAACACCCCGCATTTTATTAGTACAGAAAACTTCATCACAATAGGTCCAGCGTATTATAACGTACTTTCTGTCACCTATCATAATAGGTCAAGTATATTATGACAGATTTTCACTTATCAATCATAATATAGCGAATTTATTATGATGCAGCTGGATTTACCTATCATAATATGTAGCGTTTTATGGTGTAGATTTTTTTCACCTATCATAATATGTAGAATATATTATGACAAGTAATTGTTCACTTATCATAATATATATACTTTTCAAAAACAAGTTTTTATTACATACATTGTTCACCTATCATAAAAACTTGTTTTGTAAAAAAAAATCATTATTACATTTTACATATCCATTCAATTTATAATTAATTTCCTGTATTATAATCTC